ACTCTGTCGTCTGCTTTTACTGTTCATTATTTTCAAATTAACGTTCAGTTACTGGAAATAAAGGGAGGAGGAGGAGGATAAGAAGTGATGCTCACAGAGAGATTCCCCAGGTACCACACCCTGTTCTGAGAGCTGGATGTCAACTCAGTCATTTAATCCTCACATCTGCCCCAGGGCAGTGGTTATCCTTTGGGTCCCCACTTTATAAAAGAGCCCGGGGCATAAAGAGTTCGAGTAACTTGCCCAGGGCTACAAGGCTGCCAGTAGAGCAGGCAGCGCATCTCAGTCTCCCGGCCTGACCCCTCTGCTCTGCGCCTCTTGGGTAAGAGTGAAGAAACAGGTGGGGCAAAGACCCTCCACCACCCAGAGACCTTGTTTCCTCCAGTGATTGGTCGGGGATTCAGCATTTAAGAGGCTGGATTCCTACCAGACCATGGCAAGATATGGAGTTGTTGCTCTGAAAACTGAAAAATAAAGTTTTGGAAATTTTGCCTACGTGATGCTATAAATATCCACAGGTCCTTGTGTGTGGACACAGTTCTGGGCTGGTCATGATACGCCCATTCACTTATATTGATATACTTGTACATAATTCTTTACTGTGGTTTATTCTTCTATTAGTATTGGACTTGGTTTCTTTATTAAAATGGAGAAACCTGCTCTGCTCCGTGCATCATAAGTAGGAACCATATGCAGCCATCTTCATATTTTGCAAGCATTGGATAGGATGAGGTTCTGTAACTCTAAAGGGATGGCGAGGGAGATGAACTCGTGGGTTCTCTGACCATGACCACAGCACGCAGTTTCATCCAAGCCGGAGTGTGGATTTGCCGTGTCTCATCACAAGCCCCAGAGAGCTTGTCACACGGGCTCCATTTGCATTCAGGCGGCAGAGTCCATTCACACTATCACGGGGCTTTCCCGGGGATAATTGGTTTCTCTCTCTCTCGCCCTCATCCACAGCTGAGTAACCTGACGGAGATCCATGATCAGATCAGCGGCATGGCCCGCTGCCCTTACAGTCCCCAGCACAACTCCACGGCCCTCCTCACAGCCGGCGGGGAGCTGTACGCTGCGACGGCCATGGACTTCCCGGGGCGCGACCCTGCCATCTACCGAAGCCTGGGCATCTTACCTCCACTCCGCACTGCCCAGTACAACTCCAAGTGGCTCAACGGTGAGTCTTCCCGTCACTCCACTGTCCCCTCTCGTGTGGCCCGAGGTGCGCGCAAGCAAACGGTCACAGTTTCTAAAGGAAAGCCAGTTCTTCCTTTTCGAAAGAAATCAAAATGTTATGTTTTTTTGTAATTCGTGTGGAAGGGCATTATATGGCTCCTTGGTGAAAGAAAGGGAAGTGATATTCCCAACACCGTGGATGGTAGTAATAGGGTCCATGTTGATATTCATCGAACTTAAGCTGTTTTTTAAATATTCTTGTTTGAAATTTAGAAAATTTGATGTTGTGTCAAAGATATCTGTAGACTCATGTGCGTTTTCTCATTATTATATATCTCAAAAAAGGAAATGATTAGCATTTCGTGAAATTTTCAGACCCTGTAAAAGAAACTCTGTGGCTATTGGTAGCTCCAAATAGCATGACCAATTTAAAAAACGGTATCAAGTCCTGTAACTGGGAGGTTGGGCTGGGCATCTTCAGAGTTGCTTACTTCACTGGCTCGAGCTGTGAGTACCCAAGTCCGGCTCTCTCTGCCCTGCACCCTCGGTCCTGGCAGGTTGGTCCTCAGGCCAGCCCTACTCCTGGATGGAAATTCACTGATGCAGTTTCAGGTCCTGCATCCAGATTTGACAATATCCAGAGGCAGAAGAGCCACATTCCTTGTGTCTTTTGTTTGTCTGCCTGTGTTTGTTTGTTTGTTTGTTTGTTTAAGAAATCAGAAACCCCCAGGAGACTTCCCTTTAGTCTTGGGCTAGAACTTGGTCATCTGCTCACTAAGCAATGA